AATTTCCCAGAATCTTGTAGACCTCTAACTAACCAAATTTGTTTAGGAAAATTCCCATCACTAATTTGATTTATTCTGCATTGGCCTCTGTCACCAGGGAGAAATTAGAGGCCCATTTCAGGCAGAAGGAGGCAGTGACGTTCTCCTGAGTTATTTCAAGGTCAGTAATTTCATTGTATTGTTTGTCAAATTAGAAAAAAAAGTTTGCTCTCTAGTTCAGGATGAAGAATGATATTTCTCTAATCATGTATAAACATTCAGGATGCAATCCTTGTTGGCACATTTCCCTGTCAACCATTCTACAGTGCTAAACAAAAATAAATGGATTTTAAGCAACAGGCAATAGCCATTAAAGCTAATCTGCTTGTCTCTTTCCTGTGACAACAACAACAATTTATGCTAATACTGTAGTGTTACTGATGTAAAATGTCATAAAACAGTTCTCAGGAGTGTCATAAAATATATTAGGACATTAGGCGAAGATTCGTCTTCCCATTTGTATTCACTGAGAAATAAAGAAGTGCCACTCTGGTGTTTCATCACAGTTGGCTTCAAAGTAACTAAGGTTGGGTTTATCCTGGCACAAAAAGTGGCATGGTTGGTAATGGTTAGGGCAACTAATCAGCTAGGATGGCATTAATGAGATGCCCGTTCACTTCCTGCTATCTCAGTGATTAGTTTCTGACCAGCATGTTAGTTCGTCAAAGAATTTGAGAACATTTGTCAGGCATGGCATCCTTTTCATGAAGCCATGGTAACACTGCTTCATTGCATTGTGTGTTCCTAAATGCCATGCTATTGCATCATTTATAATAGACTCTAACAATTTCCCAATAACAGATGCTAATCAAATGGCCTGTACTTGTACAGTGTAACAGCAGAACATTATAAGTCAGGTCTTCCAGCTGCATATTGCAAATGATGAGCCAGCAACTTACATTTATATAGCACATTTAAAGTAGTCCCATGGGAGAGTCATCAAATAAAATTTGACACAATTTGAGATCAGCAGACAGGACTTGGGCTGCTACAGCTAAGACTATAGGATGATGGGAGTGGGAGATATACAAGTCTCCAGAACTGGAGGAAAGTAGATTTTGTGTAGTCTTATAGGCTAGAAAAGGTTATAATAAACAGACGCAGTGACACCATCCATGGAAGAATGGAAGCATAAGTATGAGAATTCCACAACAGAAAACTGATAGAATTTTAAGTTAGACAAGGGTCATTAATCCCAATCACCTTCAGGTTATACCACAGATAAACCCCACTTTTGGCTCAGTTCTGAGTAAGGGTCACTGGAATGTTAACTCTGCTTTCTCTCCACTGATGCTGCTAGACCTGCTGAGTTTTTTTTCCAGCAGTTTCTACCATTCTTTCTCACATTTATCATGTCCTCCATTGATCCTTTCTCCCCTCATATACACAGAAACTTCTCTATTTAAAAGGTTTATCTGGCAATGTTTTGAAGAACCTGATTAGCTTTTGGCCAAGATACCTCTGTCTGATTCTGATCGTTGATGTCACACGTCCTTACTTTGTTCTCTGATGTTCATCCCTTTACTGTGGTGAATCATGTTTAGGTTTGTTTCCACAGCTCCTTTCATTATCTTGAAAACTTCCATTAATTGTATTGCATTCTGCCATGCTAGTAACTGCCCATTATTATTCTTGCCATTGATTTATATGGATCTGTGCTGATTCTGCAAAGGATCTGGAGGAACATAGCAGGCCAGGCAGCATCACCGCATTCTTTCAAATCATTATAGAATCAGAGAGTCATGCAACTGGACAGCATGGAAACAAACAGTTAGGCCCAAATCATCCATGCCAATCAGATATCCCAAATAAATCTAGTCCAATTTGCTAGCATTTGGCCCATATTCCTCTAAACTCTTTCTATTCATGCACCCATCCAGATGTCTTTTAAATGTTATAATTGTACCAGCCTTCACCACTTCCTCTGGCAGCTCATTCCATACATGCACCACCTTCTGCGTGAAAAAAGTTGTCCCTTAGGTCTGTTTTAAATCTTTCCCCTCTCACATAAAGTAACATGTTGGACTCCTTGTACAATGGCATAATCAGTCATTGCCAATCTTGAGACACGAACAGAAAGGGCCGAGTGACCAAGTGTCATTGGATTGGAAACATTAAGACTGTTTCTCTTTCTACAAATGCTGTCAGACCTGTTGAGTTTGCAGCTTTTTTGTCATTCAGATTTCTAGCATCTTTGTTTTTATTTTGTTGAGACAGCTCCCTCAAAATAAAAGAAAGAGAGAAAAAGGAAACTTACCCAGCCATTTTCTAAGGAAACATAAGCAAAAACCAACAGAATGAAACCAGTTGAGGTTTTAGAAAAGGGATGCAGCACCATCTGTGAAGTTATTGTGCCCATAAGTGCAGTGCTGGTAAGCTTGGACTGAGGTCAGGTCCAGAACCTGAGTACAAACCAATATGCAGTTCCAACAGGTGCTATGACGAAAAGACATCTTTCACTGACCTATTCAGGGTTCTTGTGACACAATAGTAGTGACCATAAGACCATAAGACATAGGAGCAGAAATTAGGCCATTCGGTCCATCGAGTCTGCTGCACCATTCAGTCATGGCTGATAAGTTCCTCAACCCCATTCTCCTGCTTTCTCCCGGTAGCCCTTGACAATCAAGAACCTATCTATCTCAGTTTTAAATGTACTCAATGACCTGGCCTCCACAGCCTTCTATAGTGTCCCTACATCTGGCGACCACGGTTCAAGTCCTACTGCTCCAGACGTGTATGGTAATATTTCTGAGCAAGTTGATTCATGACATTATCTTCATGGACCTATGCCATCGGGACATAGTTGGTCAGAGTAAAAAGACAGGGAATTAAAATTATGTGCAATATGAAGGACGTTGTGAACTGGAGTTTCACAGTCTATACGCTGTGTGCACTGCCAAGCCAGTATGCAAGATCTGTCTTTGTTGTATCTGGCTATTGAAGATGTAATTTACTGTTTAGAATCGACGTCGTTTTTCTGGTCAGTCCCGATGCAGAGTCATAGCGGACTTCAACTCTGTTTCTCTCTCTACTGGTGCTGTCAGATCTGCTGAGCTTCTCCAGCAGTTTCTGTGCTTCATTTGCAATTTTCCTGTTCATTCATTTTAATTTTTTTTCTCGTTTACAGTATAAATGAGGAATTAGCATTCAGAAACAAAAACAGAAGTTGCTGGAAAAGCTCAGCAGGTCTGGCAGCATCTGTAAAGAGGACTTAAGAGTTAACGTTTCCGGACCCGGTGACCCTTCCTGGGTTCTGTTTTGTTTCTGATTTACTGCATCCCCAGTTCCTTTGGTTTTTAAATAGCATTTAGTGTTGCTTTGTTTGACTCTGGTATGTAAAACTTCTGTTTTAAATGTGGGATCTTGAGACTTCACCCGTTTCATCAATGGGATTTCGGATTCCTTCTACTTTCAAAAGAAGTCTTTTCGGTTTTTACCGGGATGGTTATAAAACTGGCCTTGTGCTAAGCAATTATGACAGCAATTTGTATGGCCAACTTTATTTTGTTGCTAAAACGAGTCAAAATGCATTATCAAAGCGTTTGCCAACAGCTAAGATGAAACAAGTGACACATACCATGTTTTCTCTCTCTGTTTGAATTGAAGACCCAAATTGTCAGACGATAATTTCACGGTAGAAGGCGCATGTCCCTTTAATTACAGAGAGATGCCCCTCGTTTTAGACAGAATAAAGAATCTGACTGGAACTTTGAACTTGGAGCCCTTTTAAGTTATCCTGTCGAACGCTCCTGTGACTACACATTACCTCGTCTTCATGCATAAGGAGATCGGATTTAAGACCCAGCGGTTCGCCTGTGCACCAACCATCGGACAACAGGCTGTACCGACCCACAGCAGTTTATCTGGGAATGAAAGCGATGCCGTTGCAAGCCTTCCTTCACTTCTTCCAGTTAGTTATCCCGCTCCCTGAATACAAAGCCGGGTAAACATTGGCGTTTACCCCCAGTCCGCCAGCATTAAGCAAACCACACTCTCCATCTGTTCCCAAGCGCAGTAACTTTGCCTCCGTCAGCCGCTGGCGGAGTTTGCATCGCTTCCCCGGCTGGATGTGCAAGTCCTTTCACAGATACTCTGAGCAAATGCACCGTCTGGATGACTGGGATGCGGGGGTGGAAGAATTGGAGCTGACATATCACATTCATTTTTAAGGAAGATGTAATGGTAACAGTGCAATAACAGACGATTTATTTTCAGATTAAGGGGTATAAACAGGCATGAAAGTGATTTTGAAAGTTGTTTATATTATCCTATCATCTGTCTATCCCTCCCTGTGTAACTGTCTATCTCTTTTTCGTTGTATAGTTTTCACGTCTGTCTGTCTATCTGTCTATCTATCTATTTATCTATTTCATTCTATCTATATCTATCTATTAATCCGTCTATCTATCCACCTATCTATCTATAACTTCTATATTTGTCTGTCCATCTATCTACCTATGTATACATCTATCTCTATCGTTTTATCTATTCTATTTATCCATCTATCTATCCATTCATCTGGCTATAACTTCTACATCTGTCTGTCTGTCAATCTATCTATCTATCTACCTACCTACTTACCTACCTACCTATCCATCTATCTATCGTTCTATCTATCTCCATCTATTTATCCATCTATCTCTATCC